TAATATATTGAAAAATGATCGATAAGAATTCTGAAAAAGTATCATCCCTTCTCTAATTTGCATATATTTTATCATAATTGATAGATTATTAGTATGCACTTAAATTAATCTTAAAATTAATGGAGAAAAAAAAAATCTCGAATATTTTTTTAATGTAAAATTTTCCGATAACATCCTCATATTTTAGAATTCTTTCGTGCTAATATTCTAATAAGCTTGCAGATAAGTTTATTAAATTAGAGTGTTTTGCGATTTTCTTTTATTTTTAGCATTTCTGCTCTTTTATTTGAAAGCTTAATGGAATTTTAATTTTGCAAAAAAAAGAATTCAAAAATATGCATGCTTTAGATAATATGTAAATAATGCAATATCGATCATAGTACGCAGCTATGTTATCAAGATTGCATTTATCATCCTTATCACTTCTGTTATTTAAATTATCGGTAACTATTTTTAATTCAAATCTTCTGTTTCCTTAGATTTATTCTTCATTTGATATAATTTGTTAATATCAATATACTATTGAAATTATCAAAAGCTATAGAAGGTATATAATTATTGATAATCTGATTGCTAATTAATAATTGTAATGCGAACACTTACAAATATGTTATAAATCACTGAAGCAACAACACTTTTGGCATTTGATCTCATTGTGAACAAGTATAAAATCAATTACGAAACTGTAAACAAATATAAATCAATTGGATGAATGTGTTGGTTGTTTAAATGATAAATTCTACTGTCAGCACAGTGTTATAATAATAATCAATTACTCCTTCATGTGAACCGCCGCATTGTTGGAAAATGCTGGCATTGGTGATATAAAAGGATATCATCTATCATTCCTCTCTTATGTAAAATTTTTAACTCGATATTTCCTTTGTATCAAAAGGAAAAAATTGAGTAAATTATAAAAGTAAAAGAAAAAGATCGTCGAATAGCTGGAATTGAAAAATTAATATTTCTCCTCCAATGCACTTCCTGATTTTTAGAAAATTCAATGCTACTACTTTTTTCTTCCTTTTTGTTGCAACTTATTTTAGCACTTTCAATGTGTCAAATATGGGAAATTGTTGAGCTTATTATGATAGCTGTTATTCAAAAGTTTCAATTATAGCTATTTAAAAATTACTTCGCACCGTTATCCAGGGATCTTTTAAGCATGTCTGCATTGTTTTGTTTTATTTAATTTACGTCAGCTAATTTTATCGGTTTGCATCAATACATATGATAATGAAAAGTTGTTAGAAAAACTGATTATAACAATTTTAATTTCAAAAAAAGTCCTCTTTTATTTGACATCATTTTTAAGAACTTTGAGACTACAAATTTCGGCATCAATTTGAAATACTACTGCAGCTGTTCTAATTATCGATGAGATAAATTTAAGTGTTGTGCGGTTGTTTACTTCAAATGCAATAAGATACTAACGTAAAGCAGTCTAAAAATAATTGGTAAATATTGATGCCGAAAGTGTTTTAAATTAGAAGTACATATCATTTCATTTTGTTCAAATTAGTGTTAATTTGTAGACTGAAACAAAAAAACTGGAAGCAAACGACTATTACGAATTAAGAAAAAAGAAATGAAACATCATTATATTTTAAATTTTACCGATTTTTTGTTCTTTTTTTAATTGGTAGATCGAAAGTGATCGAATGGATATTTCTTGCAAGAAATATTCTGATTGTTTTATCATTGTTTGCTTCCTTTTTTTGACAGAGAAAAGCCAATTATAATAAATAGGCAAATTCTATTATTCAAAAATGAATGTCTGTCGTAAAAAAAAATAATTTAAAATGCGGTCAAAGGTTAAGGTAAATTGCAGTATATAGTACAGAACTTTTGATTACAACGTATGAATTATCCAAAAATGTCAAATAATCAGACTAAAGATGATATATTTTTTTTTGAAATTTTAACACCTAATAATCGAATAGAAATAAAAATATTCACAAACATTTTTGAAAATATGCTTATCAACATATAACGTTTGATTTGATTATATTGAAGAGATATTATTAAAATGAGGGCAAAAACAAAAATTTAAATATTTTCATTTGCTTCATTCTTAGTTCAGATATCCTTATTCCTAAGCTATCCCCACTCAAATTAAATGAATAATTCTTACAAATTGATCCTGAGGATATTTAAACATATTAATAGAATGAGTGATAGGTTCTACTCATAATCAGATAACATGAAATATAATAATTTCCATTATTCAACGTACTCCGCGGTAAATTATTAAACCAATACTCTCTTCCTTTTCCTCTTTTCTCATGATAATTTTGCAAATCTTTAGCATGATATAATCGATTTCCATATAAAAGTGCCAGAGATTGAAGTCGTTTTGCCACCATATAATGATCATTCTGAAATATACTTGTTCACTATTTTAAAAGTTATTTTTTAAATTTAACACTAAATTTAAATATAATAACGAACGTAATAAAAAGAAGTATTTGGGTGATTGCCACCTTAAGATATTCAACGACCTTCTTCAGTGAGTTTTGTGACTTTCATATTACGTGCATAATATTTCAATGCATAAAAATTATGCAATATTTTTAATCTAAATGTAGTATATTGCGTATTTGTCAAAAAATTTGCTTCCATTTTTGCATATTATAATTTTAAGAATTGCATTTTGCATGCACGATTGGGCACACCAGCAGTTTAAGCTTTCTCGATTTGAGTGATTATTAAAATCAAGGTTTCAACCATGCAATAAATCTGCTAATGGAAAATGAAAACATCAAAAAATTACTACATTGGCATTCCTAACTGATAATAATTGATCATTGATAATAAACATCATAATGTAAAACATCGGAAAGAACATTCTGGAAATAAAGTAAAAGTGATTTATAATAGATTTTAATCAAATGATATCTAATCATCTTTTGGTCTAATCAATTTTTTGAAACCACTCAAAGAATTCGAGAGTCTTAACTTTTTAATTAGAAAGAAAACGTTGTAATAAAAAAAAAATAAAGAATCATAAAAGAATTTTGTGATGAAGAATTTATTAATTCGTCGCTGTTTACATAATTTAAAACGGCTTGGTTTTGCAGTGCACAGATACTTGGGAAAAACAATAATACCTAAATTAGTAATGGATAATGAGTAAAGAAGAGCCATGGAACAAATAAGCATCATTTGCTCTGGCATAAATATGCATTTCACATTTCTTATAATAGATCATTTTTTTGAATTTCAAATTAACTGATAACAAACAATAAATTTCCCACTACAGAACTAATTGCAATTACAGTTAAACATCTTTTTATCACAAGTTTAATTTCACTCTAAAATTTCGCCCAATTCGCCATTTTATGTAAAAAAATATCTTGAAAAAGCATAGAATTATTTTCAAAAAAAGGTTTATTATCACCTCTTTAGTTCATCTAACTATGATATAACAAAAGTTATTCATTTTATAAAAAATTTTTCATAATTTTTACCCCTCAAAACTTTCAAATTTTCATAATTCAATGATTTAATGATGATGAAAATACTGTAGAAGAAATGATTCGAAGTATTAAATAGAACTAATCCTTAATTCTTTAATTCAATCACTTCAAAGTCTGAATGATGGAAGTCTTGACAGGAAAGAAAATGAAAGATGTAAGAATCAAAAAATTATGTAATTCTTGCATTGTCCTCAAACATGAATTAATGAGTTTACGAAATTTCGACAGTGGTGAAATATGGCAAATGGACTAACACTAATAGTGGAGGGATAGAGAAATGAAAATTCACACCAAAATAGATATTTCTTGCGCAAAAGAAAAGTGGACAAAGAAAATGTAAGGAAATATTTGGTTCCCGGAAATATTTTTATTTCTGTTTAAAAATTCGTTCTTGGAAGCATAAAGAAAAACAATTTTCTTTTCTTTGGGAAAACTTAATGAAATGCTTTTTCATCAGTCAAGAAAATACAGCTGTAATGGTTATTTCAAAGATTTTATGTCTTGAAATCTCAACCAAATTTAAGCTATTGCTTTATGGCTTTATTGACATCCCTTGTTTGCTGGCTTTTAGACATAAGTTTCAATGCCTAACACCCATCCTTTCTCAATATTTCTTATTTGCTTCAAGTGCAAGAAAAAAAGATGAATAAGTCTAATGAAATGTGCATTTTGTTAAAAAAAGTAGTACTGTTGTTGAAGCAGAAATGTGCCATGTCCACGTGATGTTTTGAAATAAATAAAGCTTGCTGTACACAATTAAATTTATGTCAACCACTGCACTTCTTTCCTTTATCGGTTACTACATCATGTCACTCGATGGTAACCTAACATGAGCGACTGAATTCAAGCTATTCTTTTCTGTACTGACTTTAGCACCTAATCCTTTTTTTTGGTTGTTTCATTTATGAACGGAAGCAATTTTTCCAATTTTAAAGAAATAAAAACTCGGAAAAAAGGGACTAAAACGGACTATAGGACTATAGGTAAACCTCATGAGTTCAACTTTCAATGTAATCTGGGACTACAAATTTAAAGACTATAAAAATTAAATCGTACCAACTAGTCATAACTCAAAAAAAATTTACTGAATAAGCGTTCCAATTTAGATCATAACTTCATTTATAACTACAGAATAGTGCAAAAGCAGTAAGCACAATAAATTTTATGTTACAAATCTTCATTCAAAAGGAAAGTGATAGTGAAGAGATATTGGAACGATAAATAATATAGTTATGTTACACGGCAATTTGCAAAAGCATAAACCATTATCAACAATGTACGCTTTTTTAACATTAGGGTTTAAATTATTGTAAAATTGCTTCTGACTGTTAACATTTCAATTATGCCTTGCTAAAACATTTCGTGAAATTGAGATTCGATATTTCGCAAATATAAAAAGTTAACACCAAAAAACAAATCCTTTTCCAGCATAATTCACAGTTTTAATGCACTGACACAACTTTTATAACACACCGAATGATGAACATACTGTATGATGGAAATGGTGCAATCATGCAAGTTTCATGCCACGGCAAATGGTTCTGCAGCTTTGATAAAGCGATGATCCAGATATTGAACCTAAAAATTTTATATGACTCAATGAAGCTGAAAAGCTCATAATTTTCAGAGTAAGCGGTAATGTCTTCACCAGAAGAGATGAACATCAATAAGCGTTCGCTTTTTGTAGAAATAATCACACGATTTATGAAAGACTTTGATTTTTCCGACGAACTATTCTCCTATTTCTTCAAATTAAAAATGATTTAGGGATTAAAAATAATTTTAATATATCGGTTAGACTAAAAGACTGCCATTAAAATAATGATTATAAACGCAGTGAACAGAGCTAACAGATTGATAGAAATAAGATGATTTTAGAAAATAATATTTCGAACCAAAATACCTCTCGTCCAAGCTTTACTAATTCACATTGTACATCCGAATCCCATTCAAAATGTAAAACAGCAGCGGGAAGAAGATTCAGTTCATTTAGGGTTTTCGTATGATCACTGATTACTCTTCCAGAGATCGGATCTTTCAAAGCGAATAACATTGGTTCAATAGGTGTCAGATGCTCTTCAACGAAACTGAGTACAGCAGAGAAAGGCTCCTGACATCCAAATGTACCCTAAAGATAGCGGAAATCATACTGCACAATAAAATAAAAATTAAATGATCTGATAAAAAATGGCTGTTCACATTAATAACGACAGAATTAAACAAAACAATCCTGAAACGCGATTACAGTTTTTGTAGTTCCCCGTTTCATGCGCAACGTAATATGGGAAACATACTGATCCAGCAATGTGCAAAATCGCTTATGTGTGATACTTGTAAATTTTGAACTTTGCATTGGGTAAAACTTGGACAATTAATTCGATGTTTATTTATAAACTAATGCTGACATATGCCATGAGAACTTTTTTGGAACTCAGAAGCTACTTCCGTTAATAGGTTCCTTACCAAAATTATAAAACCACATATTGTCAACTCATAAAGGATTGAACAAAAGCTACGGAATTCAAATGTAAACAAACCTGTAAAAGAAAACGATTTGGGAACCTAATTCTGATCAAAGTGTAGTTGTAGCGATAGTTGCGCATCAATTCGCTTTTTTCACGCATTTCCCGTGTTCGTAATGTCGTAAACTGAAACGAGAAAATGAACAATGTGGTTAGCTCAACTACTGACATTAACTTAAATATACAGCGATAGCATAACGCGGTCCTTATTTTGATAAAATGCAAGAGACGCAATCTATGCGAGACGGTTTTCAGTATTATTATAAGTTCCAAAATACTGGCAGGTATTAAGGTAGTTCAACACCAATTTACAACAAACTTTTGTAAAAAGCACAAAAAGTTTACCTTATCAACGTCAATTTCTCGACGCTGTTGTTCTCTTTTAATCTCAGCGAGGTCTAAATCAAAGAAGTCGCGTGGCAAATGTGGATTTGTAATAGTTTGATTCGCTTCAAGTTTATATACCTGTCAGAATACATAAATTAAACTTCCTCTTTTATAGCAGAAGTTTACATAACAATATAAAATCTCTAAAGCGAAAATGGGTCATTATAAGAGTATTTTATCAAAACGAATCGCCAACCGCTAAACTTTAGATCGCAGAATTATGTAAATAAACTTACGGCAGCATTGCGAGACAGCTTTAAAGGGACAGCCTGGCCAGTTTGTAAAATTTCTAAAGCTTGGATCAACGACTCTGTATCCATTGCTTTATCATCTGGTATAACTAAGAAAGATTCTTGCTGTCCATTATTAATGAAATCTTTTTCTTCAAAACCACATGCTAGCAAAAATTCTTTTCCGCCGTTAGCACAAGAAACCCGCTCCTAAAAAAGATTGTGGAATGCCACTTAGAACAAGTAAAGACAATAGCCAAACATACTTCCTTCAGAATTTTATTTTTCATTTTTCTAAAAACGAATACACCTAATTAAGTCACAAGTGTATAAGAGGTACATTCAAAACACTAAGTTGATGACAATACGCATTAAGAATCAAAAAACTTATTTAGAGATTAATAAATTACCTGGAAAATCTTGTTGTTAATTCTTATACGATGATATTTGCCTTCTTCTGGATTTTCGATAAGATTCCTGAGATATTTTTGGATCGTTTCTGAAGCATTATTCCTTTTGTCCGGACCATTTAAAGAGAAAATCATTAATGTTGATGCAACCAGTGGATCATCAGCCAACTGTGTTCGCAAAAAATTTTCCACTTTTTTTCGCATCTATAATAATCTTAACCCAATTCGTGACAGTATTTTATAAATATGTTTCAAACGAGTTATTTAGAGACTTCGATGCGCATCACTTCGATATCTTTATCATTACCAGTCCATAACAGAATCCCCCCCCCCCCCAAAGCGTCTGTACAGAATATTCGATAAATTCTGGATGTTTCGACAATTTAAAACAGGCTAACTTCATTTTTCGTTAGCTGATAATCGTCTCCAAGAAGGTCACAAGTAAAGTAAACGCCACTGACAGCACCAGAGTGCTCAAATTCACGCTCATCAATTACATGAGTCCCTAATTGAACATCTTTGTCGCTGGTACATTTTTCACGTTCTTTCTTTTCCTTTTCCAGTTCTTTAAGAGCCTGAATATAAAATTACTTTTTACCAATTAAGGCTGCAATTACAAGTGCCTTACAGGACTATATTCTGATAACGCTTACAACATTTGGTCTAGTGTTGGTATTGCAATTGTGGGTATAAAGCCATTGTATGTAAACTGCAAATACACATTAAGCAGCTCTGCAAAGTGCAAGACCAGTAAATTGCAAATTTAGATTTCAATCGGTGAGATTATTGATAATTTAGCAGTATGCTTCATTATTTAGAAAACTAACCCGCATGCGTATATTCCTTTGTGTTAGCGATTCCTGGGTTACATCCAAGTTCATTCTTTTATAAGCCGCCTGTGCCGCAATATCAGCTGTAGCTATACGTTCCGCTGGTGGTAGTTGTGACTATAAGACAATGTCATAACGAAAATAGAAAGAAACTAATCACAACAACAAAATTATAATATCCATAAAAACGTTTCTCTAAAACTTTGAGATAAAAAAAACAAACAATTTAACCTTCCCCCTCCCCATTCTAACTACAGTTTGCTGTCATAAAGAAAATGGAAAATAGAAACATTACGATCAACAAATAAACAATAACTAAAACACAAAAAAATCTTAAAAGTTGAAAGTAAAAAAGAAATTACTGCTTGCCGCTGAACAGGGACCGGCTGCGGTACAGCAGCCGCTGAACCATCCCCAGTAAGCCGATAGCCGGCTCCAGCTTTTTTGAAGTTTTTGTTAACTTTCTTCTCATTGAGAAATTTTTTCAGGCGATCCATACGGTTTACAGAATGAGTCCAGGGATCTCCGGCTGTATCTAAATCCCAAAATACCTTCCGAAACGCACGAAATCATGACCAGAAACAAATACAATTTCTTAAGCAAAATGAAATGAATATCCACAGAAGCACTATAACTGAATTAATCCAAACTCCTCCCCCTTACTTTCCTTGATGATTGCAGGCTCTTATTGCACCACGACCCTTTTCTAACAACGAATAAATAAAAGTAATTTCTTTTCACGTAACGTTTGAACACAAGGATTTTTTTCGAAATGAAAAAAAGGCTTTAATTTTTCTGGAACTTTACTCTAGGCCATTATAGATGAAAAAAGATTAACAGTATGCCAAATAAAAAGATGAATACCACACTCACAAAAAGAAACGTTGGAAATCGGAGTTTCAAGAACTGCGAAACGAAAAAGCAACGAAATCGAAGGCTTGTCTCAGTACAAAACAAACAGTTAAATCACGCATATTCTTCTAAATTTATTACTCCTACTGTAGTAAGTAAATGAAAGCTAGAAACTGAAATATCAAACCTATCTAACTGTAATACAGTGACTTCCATTATATGACGCTTTGCACTCCAAATCAATTTATGCAGTATTTCTGTTACTATACACTACAAAACATATTAACGAGACCAGGATTCTTCGCAAATACTCAAACGAATTTTGGGAGAGGAAAGCAACCACAAAAAGATGTATACTAAAAACGAGTTCACAGATTCCTGAATGAATTCCGAAAATGCAGGAATCCAATTTATTCATTTGTTTTTCTTTTTCATAGAAGCAGAGGCGTAAATTACGTGTAATTAATAAACAGAATGAAATGGAAAGAAGGCTTAATATGCAACGAGATTATCTGCTTAATGAAGAATGACGTTGGGAGGAGAAGATAAAACCTCACTTCAAGTTCCACTCTTCATTAACCTCAGCTTTAAAATATGCTAGAAGTTTTTTTTTCTTCGTGATAGACTGGACAAATGCAGTAACAAATAAGATATAAGAAAAGCAGATAATATAAAATAAAACGTAGAACATTTACAACACCACATAGAATTATATAATACCATAGAGTTTATCAACTCTTACAACCTCTATCATCAGTATTGGAGCTATCTTTTCTTACACTAAATGCCTATCTTGACCTCAAGCAAAGTATGTGGTGGACACGCGCACTGAGCACCATTTTAAGAACCAACCTATCATATTGGAAACCATAGACAACCAAAGCAAAAACGTTCAATTACACTATCCAAAAAATCGTTGCGATATTTCGCTTATTATATGAAATATTGGCGGAAATTTGAACCTTCAAATGGCGTTAAACACTTCCTTGTCGGTAGATGCTTAAATTTATTCACCACAAAAGAGCAGAGAAATTACGCGTAACCAACCAACTCAATGAATAGCTATTATTTTAGGAAACAATAATGTTCGGACTGCCGTCTTTCTTTACACGTGGCCGTCTATGAAAATTTTCCGTACTTACGCAAGGTTTAAGTACAATAGATCTACCAGTAGCTTCATTTTAATTCAAAATTGAGCATTTGAAATTCTGAGCAGAGCCCTTCAGATGTAGAATTCAAATAAAAAAATGAATTAACTATTATCCTTTTCATAATAATTAACAGAATGTGCTATATTTAGAACTATTCAATTAACGAGCATGTACAAAAGAACACGAAAACAAATTAACTATTATCGCTTCCATAAGTCATCATATCAATGAACGAAGACGCTGAGAATACAGATGGCAAGGCAGAATTTACAATATATGTATAATCGTTTGGTTAAAACCAAATCATGAAAGTTCGAATATATAGTTTAGCACCTGAATAGTCAGTCTAGTGAATAGTTCACCTGTTACACCGCGGAATAGCACATGTCCTGAAAATAAGAAATATGATTGAAATAATGAGCGAAAGAATACGAATAATCAAACTATATAAAATACAAAAGATAATGAAAAGGATCGCATGAAATTTTCAAGTTGATTAAATGAATGTAAGGAACACTTTCAGCTTTATGCTTTATTTTATGAATCGTAATCTCCGACATAACCCACCTGAAGTGGCACCATAAAGGACTATATTTCCAATAATTGAGTTTTCTTCTGAAAGGAAAGTAGCATTGCAATTAGGATAGATGACGATTTTGCAATTCAAGCCCTGCAATTCATTTAAAAATTTCTTAACAAACGAATCACCTAAATCCTACAACTATCTAAAATTAAAATAGCAATCAAAATATGACGAAATACCTTAAAAACCTTAAAAATCATCAAGCTTTAAGAAACATCTTATACATAACTCATTATAGTAGAAATTCTACTCCGTGAAAAGTTTAGAGTAAGATTAACCGTTTTTTTTGATCAATGAATAAATATATATTCAAATCAAAGATAAAATTGCACGAGTGATTATAGCAAAATTAGGAGGCTATCTAAAGTCTACTTACTGACTAAATTTGTGATTACATTATTTATGGATTATGTCTACAAACGTCTATAAAATTCCTGATCAAACCTTTTATAATTTTAATTAAATTTTATTAATTTTATTAAAATTGTAATGGTCACTTACTTTACTGTCCAACTATGAAGATGAGATAACAGATTCATCATTTCCATCTTTTTTTTCTTTTATCAATTTGAAGTGAAATATAGACGTTTCACATTTTCACCTATTATGCTTACAAAAAATATTTTTTCAGAATATGTAATTTCGACGTCCGGAGATAGACGTAAATACTTGATTACTTAAAAATTAAGAGGTCTATCTATGTATCTGGAAGAGTGTTATAACTCTATAAAGTATCATTTCGACCTGTTCAATATAGTATTTGTCAGATTTGGCATTCTAAAAGTAGCCATTACTAAATATGGTCACTACTACGCCAAGTACAATACATTAAACGTATCTTTTAGGTTATAAGCCTGAACCGAAAACTGAAAGTCAATGAAACACTGTCATCATTATTATTGAAAGATTTGAGTATGAACGCTTGCAGGTTCTAGCAGATATTCGGGTCAAAAATTCTTGAAATCTCAACAGTTATAGCCCTAAACAACGACCGGTAAATCAATAATGTAATTATCTCCAACCGTTTTCTCTTACTGATCTCATTATTCCGAAATTATTATTGGAAGCACTTTAACGATGTCATTACCCACAAATGTAACTCGTTTAAAGCTTCCAACTGGAATTTCATTTAATTCAAGGGGATTTGAAATTCGAATGATACGCTGAAATGCATTGCATTAAAATTTGCTTCATTCCGAAATCGATTAATACCTATGCAGAGAGAGAAAAAAGGGAAAATGGGAGAGACTTGAGAGGTTTGTGAGAAAAACTATAAAATACGGAATTTCATGAATCACCATAACAGAAAAGTATTTTCAAAACAATGATAAAAAAACTCATGTTGAATTTCTCCAAATCAATTTAAATCATTCTCATGAAAATATTGTATGAATGGAATTTAAAATTGTGAAAATATCATAGCAATTTTTTACTGAATTTAGCAGTATAATTTGGTACAAAATGCAAGGAATTAATTTGGATTTTCAAAATTCTCTAAAAGTTAGCATTTGGAAGGGAAATAATAATGACAAAGCGATGAGACAGGGAACGATGGCTGGCTCAATTTGAATGCAATTCAGTTAAATTGTCTAAATGGGTTTTGCAGAATTGAAAATTTGGAAAAGAGCATCCAATGGAATTTTTCAGCAATTGTATTGCATGCAGTTCACATACCAAAAATGATTGCTTGATATCTTCTGGCAATAACTGATGATTAGTGATATTGGAAAGTATACAAAAAGAAATATCACCTCTGAAATTTAAATCTAAATTTCAGTTTATTATCAATTGTAACTAAATTTTAATCTTATTTTTGCAAAAAAAAAGTGTAGTTTGACTAAATGGCAAACCACTACCATTATGTGCTCTTACATCACTTGTGATAGGAATGATCGGAATGTATTTTGACAGAAATAATAGAGATGTATTTCCATTTTGTAAATTGTTGAAAATAAAGAATTGAAAATGGAATAATATAACATTTATTGGAAAAACCGACAATCAGTGCAGCGTATAAAAAAACTGGATATATAATCTTATTCATGTATTTGAAGTAAAAATGAACTTCATCATGCAAATTTTTCACAAATGTTCAGAATTATTAATTCAATTAGCATTTCAGGATCGGAATTAACCTAATTATTGAGATACAGTGCTCCACTATTCAGCATCTTACTTTTGCATTATACTTGAACCATCAAAAGTTCTGTGAATGAGCAACCACAAATATCGTAGATGATAAGCTAATAAAATCAAAGATAATTTATTATGCACTATCACCAAAATGATAAATTTGCAGTATTTTTGTATGATATTCCAAGTTAAGCATTACGCAACTATTTTCTTTTTTTCCGAATGATGATCAACGGTATCAAGCAAAATGCTCTACACTAATAAATGACATACTATATTGTAGAGTGGAAAAACAGAATGTAAAACTTGAGATGATATATACGATAGAACCACATATAAAACTTTTCTGGGATTCCGCATCATTATGAAATTCTGGGAACTCGTTGAATATTCTGTGAAAGTGAAAATACTGAACAATTGAAATACCAAGTAAACAAAATGTTTGAAGCACGACTGATATTTCAGACCGTTAATTTGAACACGGTAAAAATACTGCCCAAAAAGTTTTATTCCAAATGATAATAAGCAAAAAAAGTGATTATATATCCGTGATTTGCTCTTTCATCTTGCATCATTTCAAAATAGATTTTCAGAAAGTTAAAGAAGTTGATAACAAGGGCTGAAAGAGTTAACAGACTGGAGATTACTTTAAATTTCGAGGAATTACGTGTTGTTCTGGCGTTAATTGGTATGCAAGTTGTGCGGAATGATAATCGTCATGAGAATTTCTTCGTCATTGTCCTTACTTCATCACCGTTTTCCGGCCTTTGTCCTATTGTGGTTAAATATAGATTGTTACCCACGCAGCAAAAACAATACTGCTTAAGACGAAATTTCGTCCACTAATAACAATAGTAGTTCGTGTTCACTTCCATGAGTGATATGTGCCCTTGGATCTCACGCCATAATTATACAGTCCCCGTAAAGTACGTAGGTGTACCAAAAGGACTCTTTAATATACTTCAGCCGCAGAATCATTTCAGTGGAACCGAATTTGATGGCAGTAAAAATCGTCCCACACTACCAAGAGAATCAAAAGTGTGCAAAACTGTGGATATGAACCATATTCACTTGGCTTATCCCTTCAAATTTCCGGACATGACGTCAGCAAATACAAAACACTCTCGGGCGCTCCATAATTGCCGTAACAGAAAGGAGCCGTTTGCCCGAAACCACGGAATACAAGCTGACGACTCGGCCTTAATGTTTAGAGTTATGTAATCATTCTGACGGAGTTTTTAATAACGCCGTTGTGCTTAGTTTGTCGTTTCGTTTTTTCCTTCCGGGAACAGTGAGATGCAATGACTTTGACTTTTGAAGTAGGCTTTTAGGGATGGGTGAATTGAAGAAGTGAGCTTCAGAAATACGGTGCTTTTTGAAGGGTTCCGATTATATAGCAGTTCGTATTCATTACTACGTTACTTACAGTTTCAGTTTATAGCACCCGTGTTGGTGGCTTGAAGCATAACAATGTATATATGAGATGGGTGCTGCCTTATGGGCTGCGATGTTCCTCCATGCATCTACCGTAATCTACTCTAGTGTACACATCGAACGGTTTGTCTATCACCTCTTTACTCCCACTGTTATTGTTAGCAGTTATTTCAATAAGTTTTGTATGTCTTTGTTTCTTGCTAATATTGCTACCACTTTTTGTTTACTTTTCCCTTTTTTTGGTGCTAAATTAATGATATGAATCGCTGACCGTCTTTTAATCATTATATGAAATACATAGGAATGGTTATTCTTCAGATTACAATCACGCTGATTTCCATCATATGATTAAGACTGTGTTTCAGAATCGGGTCTGCTTCTGTATCAAAAAACTGTGATAACAAGCCGTGCTATCAAGGTAACTGTGAGAATGAAAAGTGCCGTTGTTTCGCAGGTTGGGGTGGCGTTCAATGTGATCGATGTCATGGACGAAACCTGTAATTTAATCTTGTTTATCACTCGTTAAGTCATTTTTCCTTAGTTAGGAAGGGACGGTTGGATTTGTGAAATCATATTTGTTTAAGGTTGACGGACGAAAGTGAATTGCTGACAGATGGTCCACGCAATTATAGTTCGTCCTCGCGATGCATGTGGATTATTAGGGATGAGAAAAAACGAGGCACGTTATTGTTACGGATTGATTTGCTCGTAACCGAATGTAGCTGGGATCATTTGTACATATATGATGGAACAGGGACTAAAAGCCATCAACTAGCTGCGTTCAGGTACGCTATAAATCGATGTCATAATATTTTAGCGGTGTAAGCTTGGATTATTCAAGCAAATGCGCATTCATAATGAGAGCATTCTTAAGTACATTTTGTTAAAATTCTGGGTGCTTCTGTAAAAAGTAGACATCATCGATAAAATGCTTTTGAGTCTGTAAAAATAATTTCCGGACTGATGCACTTGACACCTGACCTCCGTATTTGAATACTTGGAAAAATAATAAAGAGTTGTTCCATTATTCAAAGCACTATATTTCAGTGGTGTTATCTCTGGTAGAGAAGTGAGCATCAAATCTGGAAAAGCACTTGTTTATTTCTTCAGTGATCTGGCATTTAACATGTCTGGTTTCAACATCACTTTTGCTTATGGCAAATGCCCGAATAATTGCACATCAAACGGAAAATGTATTGAAGGCATTTGTGAGTGCTATGAAGGATATACGGGAATACAGTGTGATACGTTGATTTGCACTGATAAAGACAGGAATAAAACATCAAAAGCATGTAGTATGGCGGGCATCTGCGATGATGACAACCGATGTATCTGTAATATGCATTTCCACGGTATCGTTTACGTTATATAGAGTTGAAGAATTATTTAATAATTTGTACACATAAAATTGTATAGCGAAGTGAAGGAAAAAGAGTAAATTTTTGTTGAAATTTGTAAATATGGCTAGTAGATTGTCGGCACTGTTATCTCGTATGCTGAGAAGTCTGAAGAATCGAATATTATCACAAGTGGCAATGAATTTTTATGAGTAATAAATTAAAAATGAAATATAATATGTTAAACAACGATTTAGTTCTGTTGTTGGCCTCTAAGAAAAAATTGTTTGGAAATTTCTGTTCGTATATCTAATTTTATTGTTCTTAAAGCCAATACAGTTTCTTCGCAGGAGACCGTTGTCAGGCTTTGACAACACAATCGGTTTTTGAAACAGTTTTGACAAGTGGAGATTTTGGAGCACGTGCATCACACACAGCCGTACTCGTAAATGATACAAAAATATGGATAATTGGTGGAGCCCATTTTACTGGTATCAACAGTTCATTTGTTGTTATGTACGATATTACAAAATCATCGTGGTATGAAATTCCAACAAAAAATACTCCCAAATCACGTTACGACCACACTGTTGTGAGATATAAGGTAAGCACTGGTAATGACTCATGTTAAGATTGACGTGGTGGTGATTTGCGCGAAATCGCATAAATTTATAATTTAGCAGTTTTGCCTCAAAAACAAAGTGTAGCTTAACAGAATTAAACTGAATTACATTTCCTTGAATCGTCATTTATTCATGTTTTGTGTGTGATTTTATTTTTAGAGCACCATATATATGTTTGGTGGCGTAATTGATGAACGGGTAGTGACCAACGAATTGTGGAGTTTGGATCTTGGAACTCTGGAATGGACTTTGGAAAATGCTAATAATAATGCGTCAGATGCCATGCCGGGTTCTGTTGCTGGCCATGCCGTCCATTTGATTGGGGATGAAATGCTTGTGTTTTATGGTCATAGTCCATATTTTGGATACATGTACAGTATACAAAAATATAAGATTAGTGAGTATTTTATAATTACCTTTGTATATATTAAATATTTCACTTTCTCAATTATCTCCTTTTTCGAGTCCTTCCTGTACAACGTTTTGTTTGAATCCCGTACAACGAACTCAAGGTTTAAGTTTTGGATATAAATTTTTGCTGATATCCTGCAAAATCCACAGTTACTTAGCCCCAATATACATCATATAGAACCGGTTACATTGGGCATGTGTAATTATGGTAGGTTTTCAGGAAATTCACTATGTAGCTGTACTATACAATATACAAATACATTTGCCTTATGTATTTTATCCCGAATCTTCTTTCCGCAGTTTTATTTTAGATAAGTTATTGAGCCGTCACGGTATTCAGCCACAGGAAAAAATATTTCAGGTACCAAGCAATGGAGTATTGTTCCAGATCATGGTCCTCATGTGCAAGGAAGATTTGGTCATTCTCTTGTTGCATATGTTCATGAGAAAAAGGAAGTCATCTTGATCTATGGTGGTTATTTGTTGCCTTATGAAGGTTTCTTATCTCGAGTTAGCAGTACCTTAATAGAATATGTTTGTGATAGTCGAGAATGGTAATTTTTTTATGTTTCTTGCAGTGACAAAAATTTTGCATCACTTGCTGAGTGCAGCTTTTAGAGTAAACTTAGGTGGCTGTGTAGACTGGTTAAAGCGATTTGAGCAGCGTGAACCTCCGTTATCTCACGATTTAGTAAAGGTTGGACGTAACATTGTTATGTTTCAAGTATAGATGGTTTGTCTTCATATGAATGTGGGGGTGGTATAGCTGCAAATAGCTACACACTATTTTAAGTGTTAAAAATGTATAATTAACTTAGTTCTCGACCTTACTACCGATGAAAAGTTTTTGCAGAAGATTTTAGAAAGAATTTTACGTGATTTGTAGTTCGCATCGAACTCTTTCTTCTGGGCATACTCCAGTCTTTCGTCATTCTGCATCACTAATTAATGATTTAATGATTGTTATCGGTGGAAATGTACATAATGAGTCATCATCACGCATTCAAGAATGCTATTCTGGTGATATTCAGGCATATGATATTGGTTTGTTGGTTGCTTTGTTGTTTATTGCTCAAAATTTTCTGTATGAATTTATGGATATTCCCGAGAACTTTTTCTGGACAGTACTTGCTATTTATGATTTTTCTTGTCAAACGCTGGAGTTGTACATCTATTTCTTGCTGAAAATTTTCTTTTGGATAGTTTTGCTGTCTGTTAAAGATGAGGATATTCCAGGCTGTGATACTTGGTTTTCACTATCAAACAATAATTTATCATTTTTGCAACGTTATGGGCATTCATCTATTGTCACAAAACATAACATTTTTGTAATTGGTGGTTTCAATGGAATAATGCTGTCAGATGTTGTTAAATTCACGCCAGGTCAATGTTTGAATTCATTGTTATGAGTTTGAACTGAGTAAAAGTATCAAACTTGGAATTTCTCAAGTTGATTCGTCTTATTTTATGGAAATAATACAATGTATAATGAAAACAGTATTTGCAGCGAAATGTGGTGGTTTAAAACGACCAGACGATTGTCGTAACATGAGAGAAGGTGTACGTTGCATTTTCCATGCTGGGAAATGCAAATCCGTACAACGCGATGTATCATATGCTCCTTCATTTTTGTCATACATAAAAAACGAAGATCGGAAAGAGGAACAGAAGTGTCCAATTAGTTGGAGGAAGTGAGTTTATCACAATAATTGTTCTACAGGATAAAGTTCGGTAGCTAGTTTATTCTTGTTTTAGAAAATATTAAATCGTTCTTCCATCGTGCGACGATTTCTCATTACCAAGATTCGGCCACTTGTTGATACCTGCGATTCCAGGGTAATCTTCTGTATGCCTATTGAATAACTTTATGACCACTCTGAATAATCATCCCTGGACGAGGCTGCAGTGATTTCTTCAACTTGGATCCAGCTCTCAACTCTCAGTGCAATATCATTTCGACTTTACTTGGAACTTCTGAAATATTTCTCCTGCCATACATTGCTCTTGTCAGTTATCACAGGTTGATAAAGTGTCCAGATGAACGTTGTGGAACTTCGTTTTATTTAATTTATGCTATCACTCTAGGAAATCGTTCTAGTTTACTTCACTTTGGATCATATGGTAGTCTCAACTTGATTCAGGTCAGCATCGTGGTGCAGCGAGGAAAAAGACTGTGCAGCATGCACGGCTGCAGAAGGATGTAGTTGGTGCCACTGGAGTCGTGAATGCGTTTCTGATAATTTATGCAAAGATCGGACCAATCCAGTAGCGAAATCTGATGCTTGTCCGAAGGACGAAGAACCTCGACCATGCTTCTTTGCTGCTGAATGTTATGCTTGCAAAAAATTAAGGCACTGCAGTTGGTTTCTAATGAAGGATTCAAAATGGAAATGTGTTAACAGTTATGGTTTGTAAT